GGGGCGCGAGCGGCCGCTCCGGGACGGGATGCTGCGCGGGCGGGGCTGTGAGCCCGTGCACGTTTCACCCGGCACTACCCTGGTGCCCGTTAGCTTAGGTGGTGAGGTTCCCTTTTCCTCAGAAGGGCATTCTTCACTCCTTACCCGTTCCCTACTTTCTAGTTCAGTCCCTGGTCTTAATTGGGTTTCCGCTTTGGCGATCCGTGTGCCTTAGGGGGCGGGCATTTCCCGCTTCTCAGTTTAGCCACAGCCCAAGAACAAACTGCAGCACCCTTCTTTAAAGACCGTGTTAGGATTGGAAAACCAGATAGCGGAGAATTCAGTACCTCACATTCGTTCCCATTAAGTATCCAGACCGTACAGGGCAGAGTAGTGATTCAGGAAAAGAACTGGGAAAGTTGCTTTTCTAATCTATGAACCGGTCTCCCTTAACGCTTTAATCCGCAAAAGCAGGGAGGGTTCTCCAAAAGGAAACTCTGGGATTAGAAGAGAAAATCGGGAGTTTCCTTTGAATTGTCATATTATGTTGGTGTCAGCGTACGTACACAATGTACATACTGTTGAAAAATGTAACTTTTCAAAGCCAGTTTGGAAAAATTCGATGTATTTAAAGTAGGTATTCTTTTGGGGAGGGTGGCGACACAGGGAATTAATAAACACTAGAATTGCCTCGAGGCTCACAGCAGTGACCAACAACACTCAAATGTATGTGCCAATCATTCTAAAGATTTATTTTGAAACCGTTTAAACCCTTGCTAGGTCGGTCCTCAGTCTATTCCTTTAGCATTTACACTGTCTCACCAGCTTTCCCAGCCATAGCTACCCACTCTATCAAAGTCAACTGTATAAAAATTTAACTACCAACCCCCAAAATTCCTTATGAAGTGAGCATTATCATTAATGTCCCGATGGCATCACTAATGCCCCGGCACTCTGGTGTCATAGTCAACTTGTTCACAAGAGGTCATTTGGGTCATTTTGGCCATTTCATTATCTTGCTCACTTCATTTTTCTTTATTGACATCTATCTCCCTTTCTGAAGACCCTGTTCCATTTTTATATATTCATATGCTTAAAACATCCAACCTTTCTTCTTCCCCTAAAATAGTTTTAGTTCCATCTCATTCAAGAAACTACTCAACTAGATTTCTTCTCCAATGCAGATTTTTGCTTACATACACACATAAATTTATGTTGTTGTTCACATGTACACCCAAGAAAGGAAAACCCTTAAAATTTTCTCGAGTGTGTTATGTATGACACACAGACACACACAACCATGCACTAAGCTCCCACTTGCTTAAGTCTGAAGCTCTAAATTTTCTACTTTTAAAGGGATTTGAAATTTTTATTGTATGTGTATATTGGTTGAGGCATTTTGCCTGTAAATATAACTGGCCAGTTTTGATTTTTATTTAGTTGCATCTCCGTTAAGACTCCATGGGGTTATGATTTTATAGTCTATCTCATTTGGCTTTCTTTGAGCTATACTTGTAAAAATATCATTCAAATATGTTTGTTAAACAATTGTATGATGATTTTTTTTTTAACTGTTAGGCTGTTTGACCTTCTGTGCTTGGAGAGGGCACACATCCTGACAAGTTTGGGAGCAGGTTGGAAATTTCGGCTTAAAGATAGAGGAAGTTAAAGCAGTTGCAGATCCCGAGAGTGTTCCAGACCAAAGCTATGACACTGCAGTCACAGGGTTGAACACTGAAAGATATATCTACCTCTGTTACTCATATTTCACCTCGTGTTAACAAGGAGAGGTTTGAAGAATAATTCTTGATTGCCTGGTGAGGAGAGGTTTCAGTTCCCAGCAAGGCTGCTCTTTATCCATGCTTTGGGATTGAGATTTCATGAAGAGGAACCGAAAGCCAGGCTATGGCTTGGATTCCTCAAGAATGTATTGCCATGGCAGGTTGCGGGGGACTTTTCTGGTTTCTAGCCAGAAAGACTGGAAGTGGCTCTCAATGTAGCTGTAGGTTGGAAAGGGATGGCAAGAGAATGAACAATCGTTTTACACTATCAGGCAAAAATTGGAAGCTGATGAAAAGATTTAATATTATTCCTTCACCACCATCCCATTATCGATTTTCTCTCATATTGGTACTGAAGCCAAGACCCTGGTTTAGAGATAAGCAACACAGCTGGAGCCTCCTCTGCCAATGTTGCACTTTCTTCTGCCTACTGGTGACAGTCATTTTACTCCAGCCCAGCAGTCATTGACCTATAAAACTTTTTCCTAAATACTAAAAAGTTCTAAATCTGAAACATGTACGGTTCCAGTGGTTTGGGATAATAGTGGAGCAGTATATAAAAACCAAATAAGTTTTACGAAGTAACATTTACCCTCATATGTTCTAGTTGTTTTTGTTTTTAATGCTAGTTGCAATCCATTAATTTTGCCATTCACAGTTTGAGAGCTTGTCTTTGATGTCATTAGCCCTTTGGTGTTCAACCAGAGCCAACGTTTCTAGCTACTTGAGGGGTCTGAAATGTCAGTGCCAAGAGTTTACTTTCATTTTGAGGTTAAGAGTTTTAAGCAAGTGTCCTTTAGTTTGAAGCATCTGACATATTGAATGAAGTTACAATTGAGCCCCTCAAGGGAACAAAAACATTTGGGAATGTTATTACAGGTGTCTTTGAGTAGGGAACAGAATCTAGAACCAAGGTAGCTAAGGTACTTAGTCCTGCCATCTGTGGGGAAAACAAAAGGATTTGCTGTCAAGCCTGTTTTCATGTCAGGTTCTGGGAATCGTGTGTTGAACCGTCTTTTCCCCTTTTTAAGCACGAGGCAAGACAAACGGCATTTTACACAGACTAAAAGACACTCTATTTGCCAGATTAGTAAAAAGCAAAACCTACCCAGTTTTGTTTTGACTGTGTAATATGAAGTAAATTTGCCAACAGTACTATTGTCCTTTCACTCCTACTTTGTGGCTTTGTAGGAAAATGCATGCAGGACAACCAGGCCTGTGATGGTGGCCAGAGATGAGTGTCAGATCAATGACATTTAGGGTGACCAACTGTCCAGGCTTACCTAATGCAGGGGGGTTAAGAGTTAGTGGGAGACAGGACATTCAATTTTTAAACCAGGAAAGTCTCAGCAAAATGAGTTGATCACTGTAAGATATCTTTGTGGTTATGGGAAAGTTAGAGAAAATGTTTTTAAAGTGAAAGATTTTTTTTCTCCAATAAAACAGTAATCTATGATTGGAAACAAAACAATTTAAAAAATCAAAATTATGAAATTGGATCCATTTGTTAAAAAAAAAGAAAATGAAGTTCCAAAAAGATGGTGATGGAAAGGATCCTTTCTCTTACAAAACGAAGTGAAACTGTTTTGGTGATGAGGAAATGGAATCTTTCAAAAATGGAAAACCAGAAAACACTGGCTTTGAGCATTTTTAAAATACTTGTAGCAAGGCTGTAAAAGTTTCAACTCAAAGTTTGGAAAGAGTAGCATAGTTCTTGAGAACCATATATATCAAGATTCCAGACTGCTAGTTCAGCTTTAAAAATTCATATTTTGCTTGTCCAGTGATGCCTCTGCTCTTCTCAACAGATAACATTTTGACTAAAAAGGCTCTACCGATTTTAAATTTAACATAATTTAACATGTTGTGTGTGTGTGTGTGTGTGTGTGTGTGTCTGCTTTACATTGTACCTGGTTGAGTCTATGATACTTAAGAAAAAAACGAAATTTAGTCTAACCAATTGGCAAACTTGTTTGATATAGCTGTCTTTATCCAAAGCAGTTAGCATCTCTTAAATTAGGAACACAGCC